TTTTAATACCCCCTTATACCCCTTTTGCTAGTGGTTCTCATGCATTGCTCTGTGTGTCTTATGTGTCTTTTATTTTTGTATTGCTTCTGTTCTTGTACTTACCAAATTGTCTGTATGGTTACATTGTTCTTGTTGGTCATTAACTCAGTAACACATCTGTTTTGTAGGGAATAGAATACAAAGTTGGGAAATTTCCATTTGCTGCGAACAGTAGAGCAAAGACAAATGCTGACACAGATGGCATGGTGAAGATACTTAGTCAAAAATCAACAGACAGGATGTTGGGTGCTCACATTTTAGGCGCAGTAAGTATTGTAAATTTTGCTGCTGTCTTGGCCTTGTAAGGTCTTTTATTTAGTGTTGCACAGTTGCAAAGTAGTTGTCACGTTAGGAGAAGCGGTGCTTGTAAAAAGAAGGACGATTGAGTCTACCATGGTCATTTTTATTTACTGTTCTCTTCTGCAGCCCTACCCTCCTTCCCACTTTCCTGTTACTTTGGTGTTAGACATAGCTTTTTTTTTTTTTCTTTCCTTAGAATTGCTAGGGTTAATTGGTTTCTCTGACCAGTTTTTTTTTTTTTATGAATACTGCCAAATACTCGAGAGAACAGCAGAAATTGTTGACTCAAGCTTTAGAGGTTGAGGGAGCTGAACAGACTGTGGCTTTTTCATTTGTGTTTTCTTTTTTTCCCCCTCTCTGAACTTCAGACTTCAGCAAAGGTGGTAACCTTATGCTGCAGTCACCAAATCTGGGGTCAGTAACTTATGGAACTTTGATTTTTAAATGACTGGCATTGTGAGAGAAAATAACTAGCATAATGTCTTATTATGTATTCATATCAGAAATTATGAGAATCAGATTCAGAAACAAAAAGTCTATCCAATAGTGTTGATAATATATCCATTCGTAGGAATAAAATTTCCTTTCCAGGAAAATGGAGAGCAGTTTTAGTGTTTCTCTTAAAGAAAGCTGTATACAAAGATGCATGGAACTGTTTCTGCATACATCTTTAGGGAAAAAAAAAAAAAAAGCTGAGGAACAAAACAGAGAGTTAGGGTCTAACTTTGGAATGTGTGGGACAGCGGAAAATGATACTTTTCCCAAAGAGAATTTTCTGATTTCTCATCTTTACAAAGGATTTGTAATCAATGTGCCTTAAAGGAAGCACAACTTAGGTTTATCGGTGTGAGACAGACTAATTTTCTTTATTGGGAAAGGGCTGGGGGGAAAATCTTCATGTTTGTGGATCTGAATGCTAAAAACGTAACAGGAGATTTCACTATTTTTGACTCCTCAAAGAAATGTTCTCTGAATAAATACGTATAAATACAACAAATAAAAATGAGGGTGCAGATGTAGTAACACGCTTTTTTTTATCTAGTTATCTGTTTAACTTTCCAGGAGGGCATTGAAGTTTTGGGGAGGTTTCAGCAGTGATAATGTACGCTGTAGCTTTGAGAATGTAGGTATTATCTGACCAGTATCTGGTAGTGGAAAAGGGCCCAGATTTTGCACAACTCTCAGTAATGAGAGAACAAATACTCTCATTAAGAATTATGTTTAGATTTACGCTAGGCTTGAGCACAGTAACCAAGTAGATTAAGAACTTATGACTCATATTAGAACACAGATGAAGTGCTAGTTAATAATACAGCTTTTCTTTTTTAGCAAAAGATGCTTATTTTGAAGCTGTTAGTGATTCAGGGGAACCTGGAGAACTGCATAAAGATTTGTGCTAATTACAAATACCATTAAATTACAGGGTGCTGGTGAAATGGTTAATGAAGCTGCCCTTGCTATGGAATATGGAGCATCATGTGAAGATGTAGCCAGAGTTTGCCATGCCCATCCAGTAAGTTTTTTCTAAGCGGACTGTTGAACACCAGGGTTGCACAGACATGCTATAATTACATGTAACTATTAATGACTTGTACCTTTTTGTGTTTGCTCTCTACAGACAGTGTCAGAAGCCTTCAGGGAAGCAAACCTAGCAGCATCTTTTGGCAAAGCTATCAACTTCTAAAATGAAAGAGCAGATCTCTGTACGTGTATAGTACATCTCTGAAAATGGACTGTGGGCCCTTATGGAAGGCTGAGTCTGAGGATTTTAGGACTGAATTAAGTGAATCTGCATTTTAAACATCAAATATTTAAACAAGTAGAGTTCGGAACAAGTGGAATTATCCAGTCTCTGTAAATTAAATACTTAAAATTACATGTTTATTTACATGATGAATGTTGCAGAAAAACAGCCTGACAGAACTCTTCTCTTTCTCAAAACCAAACATTTCGCTGCTGCATGGGATTATCAGGTGTGCTGGTCAAAACTCTGAATAAGTGTCCAGCATACCTGGTGTTGTCTTATTTGAAGTAGTGATAGACTAAACCAGTTGAATGCTGGTACTTACCATGCCGCTGGCACTTAAAATGCCACTGTCACTTCCGCACAAAAATGTGTTTTCTTCTGAAAGGTTTAACTTTAGTATTTAACCTACTTCTTACATACAAGTACCAAAACTTGTTTTGACCTAGTAGTGTTAGGATGTTGGGAGAAGAGGGGCTCGTATAGATCAATTAAAACTATATTGACTTTTTAAAGAGAAAATTACTCTGTGTGTGTGATTCTCCACACGTCATGTTTTCATATTGAAAACTCATCAGGGGAAAAATTGAGTGCTGATGGAGAAATGAAAGATTGAAGACATTAATCTTACTGCTACTTAATCTCTTTTTGTTTTTAAAGCTTCCATTGTTCAACTCTCTTAAACTTGAAACGCTAAAACTGGGTAGTGAAGCAGCACTTGCTGTTAAGTGCTATGACACGAGGGTTATTCTGCACCTTCCACACATAAGGGCTGCAGTGTCAGCTCTCCACGCAATGAAGACATACTTTCTTCTCGTCTTCTGTTTTCTGTTTTGTGCTCTCTTTCGGTCTCTTCTGTAGCAAGAGAGCTCAATAAATATTAACGTGGCTGGAGGGTCTTCTTGGGTTTTGTTTGCTGATCGGCCCTGTTACTCCTTTTAGTGTCTATGTTGTCGAATACATGAAGAAGCTCACAAACAAATGGCATCTTTGGAAGATCCCTAGTGTGTATATGGAATGTGCCCAATTCCAGTAGCTCATTTTAAGTTTTGTTTTGCAGGGTGCCATTTCTTTCTTTTTTTTTTTGTTAGGCTCTTCTGCCTTGAAGAAAACCTTAATATCTGCTGGTATTGTGCATGTCCTTTTTCAGTATGCCAATGGCATGATAGATGAGAAATGTACATTTAGAAAATGGTGCAAAAGCTACTTGGTTTTGTGTGCAGATAAGATTGTTCTATCCTTCTACCTTTCTTTAGAGCTTCTTATTCAAGTATTGATCCATTATCCATACTGAGTGGTGGAAATATATGACAATGTTACCATTTTATTAAGATATCAGTTAATCAACAAACACCAGTGATACTGTTCTTCATTTTGGTTTGGTTTTTTTAACTTCTGTTTTAAATGTAGATGGGGTTAAACCATGATGGCTCATTAACCTTATCACCAGGATATGAGATAATCCCATTCATGGATATGCTGGGTTAAGTGAACTAATGTGGATCTGCTTTCAGGTGTTAGTAGGAAGCTGCTGAAGGGAAAGCAAAGGTGAGACAATAGTGAGGCAAGAAAAACTTGATTCTTCCAACAGACCTTGGCATTTCAGAATCACTTTTACCTGCTGCAGGTAAATGCTATTAAGCGTTAATCTTGTGCTGTGCAAGTTCTTCCTAGAAGCCCTCCTTTTTCAGAAACAGCTTTGTGTCCACTCCCTCCACCTCTCTCAATACTTGTGGCAGTCTTACTGCAGTTCAGCCTTGAGGTTAATCAGTTACAAATTCTCATATCTCATTTTGTTCATATTAAATGAAGTTTGGAAAGTCAGGGTATTCTTTAATCAAGAATACTCCTAAAATTATACTGGAGACTATAGTTTCCCAGACACCTGAAAATAAAATTCAAGGCCTTAAAATTGTTACTGTATTGTTACTTCTCTTGCTGTCATTCCTGTTCTAGTTAAGTGTACAAAGAGAGTTTGTAAAGGTAAAAGTAAGATGAGCTACTGAGCCACCTGTTAATGATCTGATGGCAGTTAAGTCTGAATGTTGCAAAGTTTGCAAATTGTATTTTTAACAGCTGCTAAGTATACTGGCAGTTAAACGGTGTATGATGCTGGTATGGTAATCAATTCCTGTGATGGATTTTTTGCTGTAGCATTTGTAACCTACGGAGCTTAGGGGTAATTATTTACTTAAACATACTGCTCTTCAGTTTGCTTAGGTGGTGATATATTCTGTCATAGTTGTCCTGACCAACTTTCGATGATGTTAATCAAGGTTAGGTAAGGTGCTGATAAAAGTATATACACAGATGTATTTCTCAGATCAGAGTTAGCAGTCAGGATGTGTAAATGCATGTTGCAGTTTTGGATGCTAATTTGTGTAGTTGATGAATGTTGTAAATCAATTTCTGCAGTACTGTACAATTGTCTGAAGGTGCACTGTTCTACAGATAACTTTGAGCTTAAGTATGGTGTACTTGATGTTACTCTTGCACTTTGAAAAAAAACTTATTTGTGTTTTATTAAGTGCAAGCTGTTCTTAGAGAGCAACGTCTATGCACAGCTCCTTAACTGACTCACATTAAGTGCCCTGTAAACTTTTGTAGTTCCTTTTCCAGAGAGGCTTGATCCTCCAAGCTTGGTTTATCACTTAAATTTGGTGCTTGAAATGTAAACTACATTCACCCCTTCAGTGCCGACCTCTGTTTCCACTTCACATATCCAGTGTTTCATAATCAGTGACATGAAACTAGTGTTAAGCCTAAATGGATATCATGCAGAGGGTAAATAATCCTTTTTTAGTACTGTGGTGTAAATGCTAGCTGACCACACAAGGATGGTACTTCTTCATTCACTTCTAATTTTGTTCTGAGTGACCATCCTATATTTCATAGTCATTGGAGCCCTTACTTAGAATTACGTAGTTGGAGCCAAGATTTTATTAGATCTCTAACCAGTTTAAAAACAAGACTTGCTAAAGGATTAATTGATGTACCATTTCAGCTACTGAAAATAGGAAGAAACTTCATGAGTCATACTAGGTACATACAGTGATACAAAAGTACTGTTTATTTTCAACATCAAAAAGTTACTTGTCTTTGGTTCTGTGACCTGAAAGTCAATATAAAACCTGTTCACTTTATCAGGTCTTAGTGTAATGTCAAAAAGAACTAGTGTGATACTTGTAAAATCCATTCTGAACACAAGCATTTCCTGCTCCCATTCATAAGCAAGTGCTATAAACAGCAACCTTCTGGCTGATTGTCTGTAAGAGGGAGCGAACTGTCTCTTCCAGCTCCACCAACTGCTTGGCTTTATCTTCCAGAACTTTTTGATTGTTTTCATATGTATTTTCCAAGTCTGTCAGCAAAGAAAGGGGAAAACCAGCTTAATTAGAGGTGTTTTAATGCAGTAAAATGTAACTCATTATCGTTACGGATAAAATACTACTCAAATTTATTTTTATTGCGGAAGAGAATCTCATTAGGGGAAGAAAAAGGTCTGGAATGGCACCTTTTTGTTTCCTTAACACTGGGACATAAAGCAACAAGGAATTAATTTTCCACAGAAGTATACTGTGATTCATGTTGAAAATAACTGTCATTCTCTGCTGCATTGGTGGCTTTTACAGAACAGTGAAGTGTTTTGGCTTGTTATGGTTAAGACTATTCAGTGAGTCTTTGTAACTGTGCAGGAGCAGCTAAGGGGAAGAATGAGTTCCTGGCCTGGCAAAACCAGAAGGAAAACTTAGCTCCCTCCCTGGTAGTTATGGGCAGATTGCCCCCTCCTGTTTCAATCAACTTTAGCTGGCAATGGGAAATGTTAAATTAATCTGTAAACTGGACCTGACATTTCCTGATTACCTTTTGTTTTAATAGATTTCCAGGGTGGGGTGAGGGTAGTATTGTTTGAAGATGGGGGGGCTTGCTTGAAGGGGTTAGTCCTCGTCCTGAGCATGGTAGCTATGTTCCTTCCCTGTAGTGGTTCTCGGAGCAGTGGTAGGTGCCATACCAGAAGTTTGTGTCTCACTATAAGTTTCAGCTTTTTTACAGAAATCTTTGCTTCAAAAGACTATGTTGTGTCCATAAGAATAAGGAAAGCAGATCAAACCCCAGTAACAAAGAATTAACTTCCATTTTTTTCCCTATTGCTGATGAATAGTCAGTTTAACAGCATGACATTGCTTCATATTCTAAGATGACGACTTATCTCCTTGGAATAGCCTTACCTTTAAGCAGCTGGAGTTTGCTGTTTGCTTGAGCCAACAAGGCTTTAGCTTCATCTTGCAACATGCCGGCTTTCCTCCTAGCATCAGCCGACTCTTCTGTCTTCTTGGCGATGAGATCTTCCACTGTTTTATACTTGTCGTTCAGCTCGGTATTGAGGACCTGTTGTTCCAGATTCAAGCACAAGATGGAGCTCATTCAAAAGACAATGCAGTGGAAGTTTGCATTTCCTCCCTCTATCTTTACTAATCTGCGTATAAGGAGAGACTATGCTGTTAGCTCAGTTAACAAAAGCAGAAACAGTGTTGGGGTATTTCCTACTTAATATTCAGGACTCTAAGAGTTGGGGTGAAGACTCACCAGTTGCCCTTTTGCAGATCTGTGGCCGTTTTACAGCTTTAATACCAAGGATTAATAGCAAGGATTTATGGGATTCAGTTACACAATTCTGTAACTAATGGAAGCCATGGCCCCTAGTACAGCTGGAAAGCTGCATATGGTAAGGAACTGGCACGGCTGATTGAATGCTTGCATTTGGGGAGGAATACCCTTGTTGCTCTTTAGTAATGAGAACAGCTGCCTAGTTTGCGTAGGTGAAGGTGCTGGAGAAATCGTGAGGTTGGTTTCTCAGCTGTGCTTTTCTCCAAGAGGTTAAGATTAAGAAGTCCTATGACCCAACTGAATTCAACCAATAAGCAAGTTAACAAGCTGTAGCAGTACTGGAAGTCTCTTGTGTTTACTTGACAGCCACCTGAAATACTACTTAGTGTTTGGAAATAATTGATTTGATGGATATTACATCTCTTCTGGCAGAAGATGCCTCTCTGGAGACTGATGGGCTAATTATAGACAACAGATTGGAGCAGTGAAACTTCCTTTGGCAGATTTGTCAATTGTTTTGTTAATGAGCATTCTTTTGCTATTACAAAGGTGTGTAGCAAACATTGGGAGCAACGCCATATGCTCACAGAGCAAATTTTGCATCTCTGATATTTAGAAATTACTCTGGTTTTATATTGAGCTAACGATTTTTCTTGTCGCTTGATTCTGTATATGCCAAATTCTGGGTTGCTTGTCCTGAACTCATCATTGTCATAGAACCATAAATACTCCATGGAAAGGGAAAAAAAATTACTAGTTCTCCTGTGGCAGATAGTAAAGCTGAGGGGCAGAAACAAATCTATGAAAGGCTGACGATGTGACAGCATGACAGGTTTCCTGCAGCTATTTTAGAACCTGAAGACTTCCCAATACTTCTTTCTCTCTGTATCTGGTACCAAAGTAAGTAAAAAGCAGCTCTCTTTGGTAAGTGCATTAAGTGCTGCTTTTTTTGTTGCTGCTACTTGACCAATAAATGAAGTGGATCATATGTATTCACTAATGTTCCTTTAGCCAGATCTGGGTGAGAGTTTTTTTGGCTTTCCCTTAGCATCTTTCCTGAACTTCTCACCTTTTTAACTTCTTCAGCATTTTGTTTTGCAGTAACAATTTTTTCTTCTATATTGTCCACATTCTCTGAATTTGTAGCAGCCTTTTGCTTAAGGTCTTCAACATTCTTCTCTAGCTCAAACAGACGTAAGGTAGCATTGTTCAGTGTTTCTTCAGATGCTGCATTTTCAGATTCAATCTAAGAAAGAGGGACAACAGTTACATTTTTCAAAAGACACTGAATATAATAGTAAGCTTTCTGGATAAGCCCTGATCAACTAATTAGTTCATGTCCATAGATCTGATATAAAAACCAGTGCTTTAGTTTTGTTACAAATGGCCAATTGCAGTCAGGATTAAAGAGCCCACTGCTTGAAGACGGGGTACATATGGGGCTGCAAAAGCATTAAGGAACATAGTTAAAAAAAATCTGATTGTATTACACATGCAAGAGTTGCCTAATCCACAGGCAAACTGAAATTTGACATTTGACTCCATCATGTAATAATGGACTTGTGAAGCTGCGGATCTTCTAAGCTGGCCAAGCTTCATGGGTATAGATAGCACTATGGTCTCGTGAGGGCTATGAGATGAAGTCTGAAAATACATTATCTGACAAGACTACAGCAATTACCACTTTAATCCAGCATTCACTTACTTTATTCTCGTGCTGCAGTGGTGGATAGCACTGGTAGCATGGCTACACCAGTACACTACCAACGTGGTGAGAGATACAACTTTCCAGGGATCTTGGCACACCTGCTGTGTTAGAGAGCTACAGTCCTGCTCATTTAACTTCAGTGGTGCAGGATATGGGGTGAGAAAAGCCTTTTGTTGTTTTTTGTTGGTGTTTTTTTTTAAGAGCAAATGGTGCCCTAGCATCTGTCATACTAACTCAAAAGTTTATGTGAAGGCAAGAATGGTCTAGATTCATTTTAAATGCAGTCTTTGACTTGCAGTACCCAAGAGCCTTCCCTAGAGAGGCTTACATCAGTTTCTAAATATCAGACTTGGTGCTCTTTTTATATCGTAAGAAATACTCATAAAGGAACTCACTGAGGTCAGCAGGTCTTGAGTTCCTTTAATGTCTTCATCAGCTTGTTTGATGGCTTTTTCAGCTGCATTTTGAGCTTTTTCAGCTTCTTCCAGAGCTGCTTTCACCATATCGGCAGTGACTTTAACATTTGTTGCACCTTTGCTGTGGAGCGAAACTATGCTGTTAATGCTAAAAATGCTTTTACTTAAAACTGGAAAAAGAACTAGTCATAACTGCAAAGGGCCATTTTTGCCCCTTAGCGAAGGAATGAGAATCTGCATTGGGGTAAGTTAAACTCTGCATTTTCTGATACAATGAAATGAAAGTCTCGTTCAAGCTCTTGGTGACGGAAAACAGCTAATACAGAACAGGGTTGCAATACCTTGCTTTTTTGGCTTCCTCCAGTAGCATTTCTGCTCTGGCAATGTCTCCAGCGCTCTGCTGCAGAATGACCTCAACATCAGAAAGGCTTTCTATACGCTCACGAATATCTTCTGTCAGGGCTTGCAGCTGCTGGGGAGTGCTTGGCATCTCCATGTTCAGCACTTCATTAGCCACCGCCTCGATGCTATCCAGGTCAGCGCTGTCTTCTAGTAGATGGACACAAATGACAAAGATGTAAGTAAAAGCTTCCCCCCATCAAGTCTCAGTACTCAAATTCTTGTCCAACTGCTCCCTTAAGAAGGAAAATCATGGGAAAACTTCCTCCCCCAGACTTACAGAAAATCAAGGTGTTAAAACTGCTTCCTTAGGGTGGAACTTCCCTCTCAGGAGGGCGCGTAGGCCCTGCTGGCATAGCTCTCTTGGAAGCCATTTGAAGATCTCGGTGATTAGCTACACCGTGCTGGGGCTGGGGGGGGGACACACGCAAGCCCACAGGAAATGAAGCCAACAGCTGCCCATAAATGTATTTGTGCTAACAGTATACTCGGCCTTGTGCAAACAGGGAAGGAATCGGTTTGCCATGCTGCTGCTTGCTAGTGAACAAGGCACTCATTTAACCTCTACCTGCTTTCTTACAGAGAGAAAAACTCAGTTGCGGACTTCCCTCCCCTTTAATAGTACTTTGTCTTTCTAGCCAGAACTTATGAACACACTTGGCAAGCTACAGCAGTACAACAGCCTCAGCTGAAACAAACACAACAACATGCTGCAGTTTGCTCTCACTTTCCTATTGTCTTGGGTTTTCTCTTGGTTCCAGATTTCATCAAACACACTAAGTCTGGCTGAAAGCAGGGGGATGACACACAACTATTGCATTATCCCTTAGAAGATGATTCAGAGCTAAAGATAGTTTTCACAACTCAGAATTAAAATATAATTTAAATGTAAGGTTTTTACGCATTAGGAAGTCTCTAATCTGTTTAATAAGATTTCTCAGATCTTCATTGCTTCTGTCCACTTGTTCTTTTGTAGCATTGGTTTTGAGCAAAACTTCTTGTGCATTTTGTTTTGCTTCATCAGCTCTCTGTTTTGCCTCAGAAACCTAAAGAGGAAAATAGAAGGCTTGATTGCATATTTGCTTATGCTTTAAGGCCTGGTTTAAAACAAAAATTCAGTTGGAGTCAGAGATAATAGTAATGAGAAATGCTTTTCTTCATAAAACTCACAGAACATATTTAAAAGCTGGCCGTGATCCATACCACCAATGCTAGTTTAAACAACTCAGGCTAATGTTTAGAGTTCTCCATGAAGTTTCACTTTAGCAAGCTCCTTTTCTGAGGATCTTTACAAGCATGATGAAGTTACACAACCGAAAAGAAGTATTTTGAAATAAGCCAGGCACATATTTTGTCAATTAGGTCTAAACTTGTGCTACAACTAAAATTTTTTTTTTTTTTTTTTTTATATCTAACAATTGATTTGGCATATTACCATTCTGGAGAGTTGCTCAACTTCTGCTAATGCACTGAGGATGTCTCTGTCAAAATCCATGGCTTTCTGCCAGGCGTTGTGAGCTACAGTCACCAGCCCGTCACAGCCAGGTCCTCCACACTTCTTCTTTCCATCATCTGTTCGACAGTTTAAACCGCCACACTCGGACTCGGCACAAGAGGCTCCTGTGGGAGTGCCACACGTCTGCAGAGGCACATTAGACAAGGGAAATAGTCACAGCTTTATTTCCATTGCTGAGCTACGAGGGGGAGGGAGTAGGACATTGCTCTACCACGACAGAAACACCGTGTTGTTTCTGCCCCTTGCAGTAGCATCTCAAATACCACAGGGAAGGAAGCTAAAGTGGAGCTGCAAGCTAGAGGCGGTTCCTGCAGCAGGTCCATACCAGCATGACTTTAATCTTTCTTCTGTGCCCCCTGCACCTTCCTGCGTTTAACTTGGTTACAAATATGCAGCTCTCTCTTATGCTGAAGTAGCTGGAGGTTATGAGGGAAGCCTTGCCTCGCTTTCATCATCCACTTTTCCGTACATCATCTTTCAGTGGAAAGCTGCCTTTAAGCTTTGGTTTCAAGCTGGACGCTACTACTGTCTGTATGCCTTTTGTTTGCAATCAGTCTTCACTAATGTTGGAGGAAAAACTGGTCATCCCAAGAAGCTATTTTATAAGGAAGAAAGTGTTTGGTGCAGAGTAGTATCTTTTCCTTTGCTCTAATGCCCTAGAATGTAATAGAAGCTGAAATGCTCCAAGTTGAACAGGAAACTTTTTTTCATCTCCCTTAAAAAGCTGTCCCATTCCCTTCCACCAAATGTTTTCTCTGATTTCATTGTTCCAGAACGCTTTCCAATTTGTAAATTTTGTCAAGGATGTGTTTCCACAGAAAATTTCAGGGTAGACTTTTTTTTTTTTTAAAAAAAAGCAAAACTATTTCAATCAGCAACATTGTACTGAGTATTATCCACTACTTGGTCAATTGTTTGGCAATGAAATCACTCAGAAGTTGTTTTAGCCAGAGGAAAAATTGGAAAATTCCCCATTCCCCTGTCTTTTCCCTTTCCACTCCACCCCTTTTGCCAAATGATAGTCACTAACCAACCTACTTTGCAGCCAAAAAACCTCTCTGGGAAAACCTAGGAGCTGTGCCAAGTTAGCTGCAGCTGTCTCCTGTGAAGTGTAAATGAGTCCCTCTTACCTGTTTGGCATGCAACCCAGCAGTAGCTAGAAAGCAAAAAGATTTTTTTTTTTTTTGTGTCCCGTGATTACACCTCCAAGCAACTCAGTGTTTATGGCCTTGATAAACATCTACCCAAGATTTTCAGTCCTCAAGAACAGTTAGGCAGGAATGTAGGGGAAGGGAAGCTAAACAAAAAGATTTCTTCCCTCCCGAGAAAAAAGGAGGGCTGGGGGAGTCAGGAGGGATGACCATAGTTGTAAAGGAACGGGACAATTCAGCGTGTGAAGAACTCATCCTCTAACACAGGCCTGGCCTGCCCAGGGGAGTTAATGAGCAGTCCCCTGCAGCCTGCCTTCATGTGGGATTGTTCTCTGAATGCAGCTGGCTGACTTCAAAGTGAAATCGAGGGAACACTCAGCCTCTCCCAAGAAAAAGCCACCCTTGATCATATTTACAGATGAGCAGGCAGCTTCAACAGAGAAAATGTCCTTTTGACTCCAGCTCCCTGTAAGTTCTGCTTTGTCTCAAGCACGAGAACAGGAGCACAGTGATGCTGAGTAGGGCAGCCTGTCCGTGCGAGTGACGCGCTGCCTGGCTGGGCGCTGCACAGGCATAGCATATACCCTACAGAGCTGCAAAAAGGAAGAGAGTAGCCTAGAGAAAGCAAGCATGAACTGAGGACAGGCTTAAGAGGATGGCTCTCAGTCCAGCAGACTTGCTATACTTTTCTATATGTGGAAGCTCTGTCCACAGCAAAGGGCTTTGGGTTAGAGCCGGAGTAATGAAAAGATGGGTGCTTTGTCAGGGCTGGGAAGGGTAGGAGGGAGACCAACATGAAAGGCTGGTGCCTGAAAGCCAGTAGGTCTCAGAGCCTACTGATTAAACAGCCCTGTTCTAGCCCACAAAATAATACCCCGTCATCAACGTGCACTTTTTATGAACAAACTGTATCTCACACTGTCAAGCTCTAACAATTCCTCCCTGCCCGTCACTTCTTCACAAACCTGACTTTATTTTTGCTACAGGTTTTATACCAGCGATTCTCAGCCGTGTACCTTCTCAGCTACTTCAGAGAGATCCAGGCTCTGCAGCTTGCCTGCGAGTTCATCCAGAAGGCGCGACTGCTCCTCTTGTTTAGCCTTGAACTGGGCCTCCTTCTCATTGATTAAGTCTTCCACTTCCTGCCGCGTTTGTGCTGACAGCTCCACGGCGCTATCAGGGTGAACAGTGGAAGCATTGACCCTCTCCTCTGCCTCCAGGGACATCTGGAAATACTTGGTGATACTATCCAAGGCTCCTGCAGAAATCAGATGGAGCTGCTCAGAAATCTGTTAAGTAACCCAAAGTAATTTATATTATGGAGGTTGGCAGATGACACATCAGGGTTAGCGATATGAATATCAAGTTAAATGAAACGCTAGCCTTTGCAGCTATATTCAGTGCCATTGCAAGGATGACAGAATTTGGCCTGTTGTGGGAAAAAAAAAGGGGTTTTTTTTTCTTGGTTGACAGTGTGTCAAGTTTGCTGGAGTAAAGTAAGCCTTTCTCTGACCCTAGTGACTGAATTCTGCTTGCCCTGAGGGCAAAAGGAGATCTAGCCTTTTAAGTTTGTAGGGCAACAGTCTGTTTTCTAAGGATTCACTTACCCCATTAGTTCTTGTTGCTAGCCCTGGGATGTCTGGCTTATGGAGTCACTGCTTGGAAACTAGTCAGAGCTTTCCTAAGAAACAAATGCTTGATGAAAGATGCTGATTTATGGAACTGTTAGTTTTGGACAACTCCCGGAGAGGCCTTGAGCGGGTGTGAGGGACCCCACGGGGGTGGCCACACTCTGCACCTCGGGGCAGCTTTCCTCTGCAGAATGCCACAAGTCGGGGACTCCCCTGTTCTATATCCTACTTGCCTCGCTCTCTGAAATCCCACGTTCACTGGAAACAATGTCAGACTTCGTGCAAAGCAGGAAATTAAAAAAAAAAAAAAAAAAAATCCTTTGTTTCAAGTTGGAATGAAGTCAGCTTTCAAAATTTCCAAAGAATTTGGTGACATTCCTCTTTCTCCAGCAAATTTTGATTCTTGGCCCATTTCAATGTGCCAATGGGCATGCAAGGCTTGGGTGGCTTGGAAGAACTAAGCCCTTACAGTGTGCTCTTAGTCGCCAAGACCCAGGTAGTTTTTCCAACCAGAAACAGCAATTTAACAGACTGGGGAGAGCAAGGGAGATGTCCAGGTGTATCTTGGAATCTGCCGTGCTTTCAGCTGTTGTGTCTCATCTAAAACGTATTAATCAAGAGCCTTCAAGACAACTCTGTGCCCCAAGAACTTGAGCCAGCTTTGCAATGTGCAGAGGGAGAGAGACGGGGTGAGGGGTTCCTGCTGCATCAGCAACTCTGCTAATGCACAGAAGGAAGCTGTCCTCCTAGGAACTGTGTTTTATTACAAGTTAGAAGATTAACCTGGTATTTAAAACCATGCACTAATTAAATCTTTGGCCACCCCACTGCTTTTTCCCCCTCCCTGTGACACTTACCCCGAACATCAGAGATCTTGATGAACTCTAGCTGTTCTGCAAGTTCTTTAACAACATGGTCTAGGCTTTTGGCATCTGTCTCCAGCGCACTCAGGTCAGTGTCTGTGCTATTGCTCTTCACTGCTAAGGCTGACAAGTTTTCTTCTATGTCGGCTATCTTAACTGTAACATCTGCTGTCAGCTTTCTGTAAAACAGAGGCACAGGACTCAATAGGGAGAGGAGGAAGGGTTGTAAGCCTCAGTGCTTCACTTCACTGAAGAGTGATGGTTAGAGCCGTGCCCAGCTTCTCCCACGGCAGGACCTGTCCTCCCTTGGTGGAGCTGTAAGTGATTTGTAACAACATGCCTACCTAGAGTACTGTTTTGTTTCCTTTATCATACAAAACTACTTTTTAATCTACAGCACGTTTATAAACTCAAAGCACCAAATTGCTCAGAAAACAGCTGCTTTGTGTAAGATTAACTGGAGGCAGATTCCAGAGGACTGGTGTAATGCTCTTGTATCATGGCAACTGCATAGGTCAGAGTTGACTACTATGATCCATACATAATTTGCTTCCCATCCCACACAGCTACAAATGCAGTTTTGATTACTACGAGCTCATGGGACAGATTTGAACTTCAGGAAGCGGGGGGGGAAGCTTTAGTTTTAACACAATGGATTCTTTTAACTCGTCTGTAAAGATCCCTCCTCACCAGCCGTTTCTCTAGGTCTGTGAAGGAAAACCTCCCGCCCTCAGCATTCAGCATGGCCTCAGTGAGCCACAGAGCAGGCTTTAGCTAGTGGGATAACCCTAAAAGGAAAGGCAAGTGTATGTTACACATTAATGCTGCTGCGGAACCGACGTGGGCATAGGAAGCTATTCCCATCCATGGTCATCCCACCAATCCCACTGTTTCCTCATTCTGAAAGAATCAGGCAGTATTTAAGCTCTGTGATCAATTTACACCTCTCTCAATAGCCCAACAGCCTGCTGTTTTCCAGGAGTCCTTCAACGCCCAGTACTTCTTCTAGACAGCGAGAGAGGAGCAAGAACAGATACATACATACATGTTAGGGAAAAGCAGCTCCTCAGCTGCTCTGGCCTCCTCGGTACACACAGAGTCCAAATGCAGCAGCAACCCCCAGCTCTCCAGCTGGAGAGAGGGAACTGCAGGGCACAAGCGTATACCTAATTGAGACATTCGTGCTTTAATCCTTGCCCCTTTGCTTTGTGCAGTCCCCTTTACAATGCACAAGCAAGCTTGAGCAGTTGCACACAGGGCTAGAAAGCATCTGTAATCCTACTTGATGTTAAACTGCTCCATCTCCAAAAGCACAAACTACCATCTTTTGTATGCTTAGCCCTAAAACAAAATATAAGGCTATACCCTGAGAAAAATGAAAACAATCCTTGTTATAAAGCTAGTGCTTCCCCCCACACATGCTCAGAGTGCAGAAAGGAGCCCAAATTTCCAACTCATCGGCTACACACAGAAATCCAGGAATTTAATCTCTCCCCTCTTCATTCTTTCACATAATAGCAGTGTTTGTCCTTTGCCCCGGGGGAGCGCAAGGCAAGCGTGAGTGGTAATTAGCTGCCTGGTGCACAGTGGGAGCAGGACAACCCCTGCCCAGAGCATGGTAGCTGTGCTGCTCCTACCTTCCCCGGCCAGGTTTCCACTCATGGGACGGACGCTCACTGCCGGCGCTGAGCAGGGCGAGGTGCTCCACCAGCGCTAGGAGCCGCAGCGTACCTCGCCCAGCTGGAGGAGCAGAGCCAGGGTGTCCTCAGCTCAGCGTGGGGGCATCAGTCACTCAAGTAAATCCCAGTTTGCTGTCACTCCCACTCCTTCCCACGCTAGACTTATCCATGTAACTGCGACTGTACTCACTCTGCTTCCTCGAAGAGATTTCCAATGTTCTTCAGGGGCTCGGCAGCTGGATTTTGAGCGATGATGGTTTTAATTTCACTGAGCTTCTCCTCCAGGGTGTTGAGCGTCTGCTGGTATGGGCCAGTGACTCCAGTGATTTTGAGGGCATTAGCCCTGTCCAGGAACTGCTGGGTCCTATTAGCCAGCTCGCTGATGATCACGTCCCAGAGGGCGAAGCACTGGTGGCATGGCACGCAGTCAGGGAAGAAGCCCGAGTAGCCCCGGGAGCACTTGTCACACCGCGGCCCTTCCACCCCTTCGTTGCAGATGCACTGCCCGGTGGTGCGGTTGCATTGCGGGGTCTGGATGCCATGAGGGTTGCAATCACAAGCTAGAAGGAGAAAAAAGGCATGCCTGAAGGCTACAGCGATGGAAATGACACTGACATTGGTAGGGAGGAAAAAACCAAAAATTCAACCAGCTGTAATGAAATAGGGAAATGAGTATTGAAGTAGTCTATGTCTGGATTATAATCAGCTAATTATGGATGTGTCCGCTTGGCTGAGTGTGAAAGGGGAGAGAGACAAGGAAGTAACTCTAGGGGAGACCAGGATTTGCACATCTCAGAAACAGGCACAATAATGGAGCAAGGATGGACACTTCTTGCAATGTTTGGATGTCAGCTGATAGCAATTGAAGACAAAGATCCCAGTTTCACTCCTACAATGAAGAGTAAGAGTAAGGCTTTCCAGACGGGAAAAGAAACAACAGGCAGGCACATAGCAGAGGGCTTAAGAGCAAAACATGAAATAGAACAAGTGAACAAGGAACAACCACTTACTGTCTCCTCCAGCACAGGAGTAGGGGTCAACTGAGGAATCCGGCAGCTCAAAAATCAACCACCCTCCCCTGCACCTCCCACAAACAGCACAATAAAAGGAGATAGTTGACTACACAGCACTTAGTTAAGTGGCGGAGCTCCCTGCCACAAGACACCATGGGTGCTAAAAGTTGAGATGGCTTCAAAGAAGTATATGACAAATTTATGGAATAACAGCCCTTGAGAGATCTTCTGTGCAGAGGTACAGGGCCTGGCTCAGGACGTGCTCCTGCCACAGATGGTGGGAAAACATTCACAACATGCATCGAGGAGCCTGGCACTGGGCTGACATTTTGGGTATACAGAAAATGGGGAAAAAAATCAGGCGGTGAAAAGTAGAATAGAACAAAGAATGTGGTCATGGGCAGCCCTGTCTGAGGGAGAAGAGAGAAGTCTTCTCCAACACAGGTGCTAACGACCAAGAGCCTACACACTGCTTGTCACCCTCAAGTGGGAATGAGGATGATTAACAGATTTTTTTTTTTTTTTAATTATTTCACACTTTGAGCACTAACTCAGGAGTTAGTATTCACACCTTCCTGAAATGGACTTTCATTCTTACTTTATTTTTGTAACTGTGAACACCTACGTATCTTTATATATTAGTCAGGTAAGACCCAGGGGCTCCAGGTGGTTGCCAAATTGGAGTGATAAGGTTTGGGCAACACCCTTATTTTAACAAGCTTTTAGAATAAAGATGCACTTCTTTGGCACTAACCCACCATGAAGAGAAGTTACTCAATTAACTTAGTGATGCACGGTCATTTCTAAAAGCACAGACACACTTTGTACACAATAACGCTATCAGGAGAAGGGTTTCCATGCAGCAGGGCTGCCGCTTGACCTCTCCTCCTCCTTAATTACACAGGCAGCAGCAGAGGAAATTACCAACCTGCAAAGCTTCTAATAAAGGGATGGCAGCAAAGAGCAAAAAGAGAGGCCTTGAAAACAGGCAGGTCATCTACCTACCATTGTGGCAGAGTACACCCCAAGCAGGTCAAGCACACAATCCTTGAACAGGAAAAGGACTGCGATACCTGATAAAAGCCTTCACTTACACATCCATTTACCAGGCATCCTTGAAGGAAGTTAATGGCTCAAAAAGCTCCATAAATCAATTCATGCACCCCAAGCACATGCCCCCTTGAAAAAAGGGCAAAACACAAAGCCGTTTCCAAGATTGTACATTGTTTGCTTCAATGCCAAAACACAGTGGTGGTCTTCAGTTCAAAAACTACACAAAGAGCCTCAGCAGAACAAATCGCTCCTCAACAAAATGACTTTCTTGTACAATGTGAATATGATAGGCAAGAGACAAAAATAACTTCTGCTGCCTGCACAATTGAGCAAAATGGTCCTTTGTTCTTTGAATTATACCCTGACACAAGAGATTGTTTTTACTTTACATCAAAAGTGCTTAAGTAGTCAACTCGCCATGGAATATGTTCCCTGCAGGCAAACCGTCGAGTTCCTGTTTGAAGGAGGTCAGTTAACCCTTCTGTCAACTAATAAGGCCCTTGGTATAATGATGAATTGTCCAAATTCCTCTGCATAGAAAGAGGCTAAATGGCATGTGGTTTTTCTCAAAGATCTTGAGATCTGATCAAGTTACACAAATACTTGCTGCTGGCAAATCAGATCACTATATTTACTTGCGGATTTAAAGAGCTTAAAGTGAAAAAAACAAAACCCCCATGTTGGTAATTCTACTCCTGAATACCTGCATGTTCAGGAAAGGCAGATGACATGGCTTTAGTAGCATTTACATGGTAATGTGGATTCCAAAATCTCTGGAGCCAGAAAATGCTGGGGAAGGGGAAAGGAGAATTTAAGTACTAACTAGTTTGCAAAGTGAAAACCCAAACTCCATGGCTGCCTGTTGGGAGATGATAAAGAGCAAAGAAGTAATTTATTCTAAATACAGCACAACAGTTGGAAGAATCATCACATTTCTAGAATTCTACAGAACCTTCAAACTGAGCTTTGTGGGACCCCTGGGAAAATTGTACAAGGCAGCTAGAAACATTATTGTGGGTTATTTATCCAGTTTAGGATTCTCTATCTAGCCCAGAAGCAGGCAATGCTGGCTCTGCATTACTTCAGTAGTGTGAATCCAACATATATAAAATGGCTTTCGAAAGGGCTGGTTTCACACTTGCTCTTTGTTTTCTTCATGATCTTCCAAAGTCATTAACTGTGCACAGGGCCACACCAGCTTTCAAACCAAAAGGTAAAACTGAAGATAATTTTATCTCTATTTTTAAGTAAAATCACATAGTCTAAAGGAAAACAAGAAAAAGCCTCCCTCAGAACTGGAATAAGAAGATTCCAGTAGATTTTCTTTTCTTTCCATTTTGAAAATTTGGGAGGCATTTCTAGATGTTGGTGGTACAGTCTCCCTAGCTACAGCCCTCGGACAACTCCTTACTGTGGCACTGACCGAAACATTTTTTAAATTCTCACAAAAGCATCACTGCTCCTTTTACAGCTCACATCCTGTGAGCAAACCTTTCATCTCACAAATGACACGTGCATGCCAGTGTTTGGTTACATGCAATCTTCTTTTTTAGAGTCTAGATGACCTTAGCCAAGCGCTTCAGCCACAGTTGAAATCATCCCTGTTCCTTGCTAGAGTCAGTCTCTGACTGCATGCCAAATTACACATCCATCATTCATGACGGTGGGTGCACATCCACCAAAAGGATTCCTGTGACATTTGATTATCACCGCCAATGAACTGGGATGTGAAAACAGGAAACGCCTTGATTCCCATCACCTCCTAGAAACAGAGCGAACACCATGCCAGAATGATCCAGCACATCATGCCCAGCATCGTTTTTGGCCAAAGCATGACATCTAGCCACAGTGGAGTTCTTGCTCCTCTACCACCTCTTTCGTTAATGTCCAACTATTCCTATGGCCACTATGTGAGCCAACTCCTATGCAGTCCCGTGCTAATGATGCTCTCTGTTACAGCAGTTTTGCTTCTGATGTACTCAAACAGGCTAACACAAACACAATCTTTACAGTATAGCTTGGCTCTGGAGATTTCAGCTCTAACCAGCACACTCATAAGTCTGATGTAACACTTGAGTAGCTATACCACATTTAATTTTAGCGTATGCCTGGTTAATCTAATTTTCCCCAAGAAGAACAGGCACATCTAGGGATGCAGAAGTTTTTTCAGGTATTATCCAGTAGCTAGCGATGGCTTTATACTCCACCTAATGGAAAGACAATAAAGTCCTGTAAGCTCTTTTTAAATGCCTTACCTATGCTTACATGACTAGGAATTGGGAAAAGTGGTTCATTTTGCACTGTAAAACCACACAGATGTTGAGTTTACTGTGAGACATTTAGATGCCTTAACCAGCTTGGGTTGGAAATGGCCTTCAAGACGAATAGTTGATTATTCTCCCTTCATACAGAGGGGTGGACCAAAGCTGGGGTGAAGGGCTGCAAGTTAACACAGATTGGGCTGCTTGCTTTGAAGATCAGTTAGACGGGGATCAAATCTGTCCCTGGGTAAGCAGAGCAGGACACTACAGTATCTCCCATAGAAAATATAGCAGAGGAAAATAAGTTTTTTTAAATCATTGGTCAAAGATCTGAGGGTTTTCAAAGGAGCATTTACTAAGTTAAACAATAGGTTTCTGTTTCAAAATGTCATTTTGGAACTGGGTGTATTGTTTTCTCTAATTGAGTGTTTAACCCAATCAGACATTCTTCTGTGGCATACTCCAACTTAAGTGAAATCACATTTTTGCCAGGAAAATTTTCTAGCCAAATTCTTCAGTCAGGATCTGCTTATTAGCAACTTACGAGTATAAAAGATTGTAGCTGCGTCTATTCACAAACGCATGTGCGCATATATGCATGCACACACAGAGTATCCATGGGTAATTTTTTTACCACCTTGATCAATGCATTTCTCTTTTAGTAATTTTTTTTACTGATCTTAAAGATAAAAGTAACACTCATACATGTTTATTGAACGTAGACTTGTAGAAACCTACGGGGAGAAATCCCAAAGAAGTAAATGACTAGCTTGAGTGGTTTGCTTCAAGCTCACAAGGATCTATGAACCACTTTATCTTCCAGTTACTCTGACAGCTCTGCTACCTCTCCCTGTGATTTTAAATATTTAGAACTCACTTCCATTTGAGCTACTGTCATTTAATATGCGGCATATTTGCATATCAGTTAATTTAAACTAAGGTGTGTCAGAGCAGTTGATACTACAGCCGAGATGACATAATGGATACTGAAAGGGCTGTATGAAGATCAGTCTCAGTGTTTAATGCCTTATTGCAGGATGCTAGGAACAAGTGAGTGTCATACATCATCCTACACAGAACAGAAATAATTTTTGCAGAAATATTTTCTTTACCGCTTGAGATCAGGGATGGAGAGCATCAAATGTTTAACGCATCCGCAGCAAAAAAACAAAGGATTTGTTCAAACATGGTTTCCTGGCATCATTTCCCAGTGAGGCACTATGATGATAAAACCATTCAGCAATTTGTAAGGTTGAAAGTTTTGCAGAGCTAGCAAATTTCTTCTGAATAATCAGCTATTGATTCAAATTACCCTGTAAGCATATTGCTAACTCCTCAGCATTATGATTTTCAGTAAGATAAGATCCCAGCCTAGAATTACTAGAGTTGTGCTGCATTTTAACATGCTAGCAGACCTTGCCAAAAGGGCTATTTTCTGGAAACAATCAATACACATTACAATATTTTAAGACTACAGGTCAATTGAATTTATGAAACTCAAAGTGAAATTATATTTTCTTTAGTGTAGAATTTGTCCGACTTCCTTTAGACACTTATCACAGAAGGAAAAGAAACATTTGCTAATCTTTCTCTCTGCACCATAAATACCTCCTATAAAAGCAGCCTACGTGACTAGTTTAACACCCAGGTGTTAAATTAAGACTACGAAGCCTATTCTTAAATGGCAATGGGGTAATTTTCAGTGAACAGATGTTTTGGCACCAGATACATAACAAAGACTGAAAACTGAGACAAACAACTTTCTGCCAATGTCTGCAATAAGTATTTGATAAAAACATGACTTTTTTTCATCTTAGTTCAATTAAATTCTGTTTTTTTACAATAGGGCTTGATACTTAAGTTCAACACAAAAAAATATTGACACAAGTATGCTTCTTGTAAAGGGCATATAGCAGTACAACCAAACTTTCAATCTCATACAGTACCTTTTACTAATTGCACTCTGTTCTGTTTGTTCGATTTATTAAAACAGTAATGATAGTAAAATTGTCATCTCCTTTATATTACATGAAACATATAAACTTCAAGTATCTACTGTGCAAGGGCACTGTCTGAGCTGCATCTGCAGCCAGACCATATCTCAGAGGCTTCCTGGGAGCCTGGAGCCTCCTACCAGAAATGTGCTTTGCGGGCTGAAGTCGGCACACAGAGCTTAGCATGCCGAGTCCTGCGTTTTGGTTGCCAGGCTTTGGAAAAGCTCCAGCAGAACGCCTGGGAGACTTGAGTTTGATGAAATTTGTAATCCTATTATTTACTACCTTAGCAAGGATTTTTATGCACAGGCACACATTCACGTGCAGGCTCGTGTAGAGCTGCATATAGCTCGTAGCTGAAGCAACAGCCGGAAGAGTCCTGCAAAGGGGCTGGTACTGCTCCCGAGCAGACGATGCTCACTGCACAGCTCCTGCTCGCTGTAATCCTCATAGGGACCTGCACAAGGCTAAGAAAGAAAGCCTCTACGCCTCTCCTGTGCATTATGTTAAATTAAATGAGTAACTTGTGCTTTTTTAAAGCATGGGGTAAGTAGTCTCCAAAGACCCAGTCCTACAGACTCTCTGCGGTGTGTAATCCCCAATGGACAACTGTGGGTGGTGGGAGCGTACCCAGTACCGAGGAGTTGAGATGCTGCCCAAATGTAGGCACCCACCTTAGCTTGACCCAGTGGTCCCAGTGTGATCTCTGCGGACATGCAGAGAGGAGACATCGGATGACGCTTTCTTTCCACCGCAGGGAGCACAGACTGCAAATCAAAGCACCCAGACCAGGTGCAAAAACCTGCCTCCCCCAGCTTCTGCTTCACCACCTCCGATCTTACCAAGATTTCTAGAAAATAAGTCACAGGCAGCAGCTGGCAATGGTCAACAGGGATGGTAGGGAAGTGTGCTCTGGAGTCTGGTTTCCAGCGGAGTGTGCTGGGACCCTGGGGCCACAACCACAGCTGGGTGCTGCTGCGAGTGCCTGGCAAACCGTGGGGAGCTGCGGCCCCCGGCCTGCCCTAGATAGGCCATTTTGTACATCTCCACCTAGCTGTGTCAAGAGGTTATTTGCAGGCACTTGTGTTCACGTGACCTCCTTTTTTTTTTTTTTTTACCAATTAAAAAATTTGTAAAAGGTGTCACAGCAACGTGGGCAGTGCAGTCCCCATTTCTCAGCAAGGGCTCGTGTCTATTGGTGCCAACAGCCTGAAGACCTCTTGTGAAGAGATTACACATTACTGTCCCTTCAGTGATGCACCCTGTGATTTCCAACCTTGAGCAGAAGCCACTTGCCCCGGCTGGTGGAGGATCCCACCCTGGAGTCGTTGGGACTGACGTCCACACCTCTGCATCAGCTCAGTGCGCACAGCACAGCCTGTCCATCCATACATGGTTCAGAGCTCTCTCGCCATTCCCCATTCAGATCGGTTTGTATTTTCTTCCTGAATGTGGCACAAAATGTGGCCATTTTGGCTTGGGCCAGCGCAAGCGTGCCACCAAGGGCAGGTGGCAAATGCCACGGCCAGGAGTCCATGTGTCCCCCTGCAGCTGGAGCTGACATCTTTGTGATGAATCCCTGTCTCAGTTCCAGCTTCACCTTGGCCACAGGCCATATTTAAGTTATCTTCCCAGGGCATTGCTCTGTAACTCCTTAAATGGCACAGTTTTCCAGTTCGCCTGCAAATCGCTTACCACCGAGAGCTGCTACCTGCCCATGCGGCGGCTGCACGTCTGCCAGCCTGAACATCACCTCTCTGCTCGCCAGGACTAAATGAGGGCTGAGAAGTCGCTTCTCTCTCTGCCGAGGAAGGATGGGAGACTGGGGGGAGGCACTGACAACACCACGCCGGGGAGTCTCGGCAGCGCTGCGTGGCTGGATGCGCTCCACGAGCGAGCGCACGCTTGAAGCCCATCCAGGGCTTTGTGCCGCAGGCTGCTGCAGCTCAGCCCCAGGCACTGGCGCTTCCCACCTGCCACAGAAACCTCCTTGGATGCAATCCTGAAGGAAAATCTGCATTTTCACCTGAGTGAGTCTCCCGTGTCATTTGGGGGCAGAAGGGGCGGTGGGTTGGAAGGAGAGCATAGAGCCTGCATGGTAAAAACAGGCTCTGAAGAATATATCCTCTCTTTACTTCAGAAACATTAAAAAGCAGGTTTTCACAATGCTCAAAAGGCAGCAGAAACTCCATGAGAGGCCAGAAATGCTGGTACAGGGCAAAATCCTGCTGATAAGGTATGCAGATGGACTCCATCAATAAACCCTGACGGAGACAGCTGATACCCAGAGACAATCCCTGCCCTGGAGCCAGCAGGGTCAGCGCCCCGCACCACGCCAGAACACACACAGCCTCCCTGAGACACCCAATATGTACTCAGGAACCAGGACAATTCCCCAGTCCTTTCATCTGTTGCATTAACCAAGTAGCTGTGACCTGCCTATCTGGTTAAATAATGGGCTCTAAGGTATCTCTATTGTAAGGGATTTATTAAAGACCACAGCAAGCACATTCCTCCCTGCAGGAAAAAATACCTTAATCTACTGCAAACCCTCCTGGCAATGGCTCCTATTTGAACAGATCAGAGATACAAGTTTGTTCTGGTCTGGACAGTGTTTGAAGTTTCTTTTCTAGCTAATGAACAGACTTGTTTATAATGAAAGGACAGAGAGCATCCAGTTTTCTAAACAAGCGACTTTATGGCACTCTGTTTTGCGGCATGTAGCTGTGGCTAAGCCACTGCACAGTCTCTGCTCACTCCTTCATCTGAAATATAAGGAAAGTCTCCTACTAAATCAAAAACCTTATTTCTTCAGCCTCCCTAACAAGACAGAAGAGGAAACAGGGGTCTTCCACCACACACAAATGAAGGGCAAAGGAAACTCATTTCCAGACCAATTCTCAAACCCAAACACTTGCGATATGTTTTCTTACCACACTGGCTTACCTGGCAGCATTGCAACCTAACGGTTAAAGAAGAGTTGGTTTCTACACGGAGATAATTGTTTCTAAATAAGGGTCCAACAAGAAATAAAATAAACCAGGCAAGTGTTGGGCCGGGCTCCTCCTTCATCTAGATCTTTAACCGCACCTCCCGTCCCCAGAGGCCCCAACCCCGGGGGCAGCCCCTGCCACACCTTCCTCCCGCATTTCCAAGGCTCGTGCGGGCACTGGCGGGGGTCACCGGAGGGGCTGCTCCCGGCAAGGGTGTCCCAGCACACCGGGGAGTGACAGTGTGCCCACAGGTCATTTCCAAAAGGAGCAAGGCAGGGCACACCGGAGCAGGCGCTGGGCTGGGACTCACCTTGACACTCCACGCCTGGGTCGCCCCAGAAGAGTTCCTGGCACTCCCGGCAGGTCCGGCCTCCGAAGCCTGGCATGCACTGGCACTGCCCTGTGAACTGCCAAAAAATAACAAGACATATGACCATCTCAGTGG